TTATGATCTGGGGCTGCTGCAGTTGGTCAGGTCTATGTTCAGCAACAGCATGTGCTCAAAGAATGAGGTCACCTGACTACCTGAATATAATGAATGACCAGGTTATTCCATCAATGGACTTTTTCTTCCCTGATGGCATAGGCATATTCCAAGATGACAATGCCAGGATTCATTGGGCTCAAATTTTGAAAGACTGGTTCAGGGAGCATGACACATCATTTTCACACATGGATTGGCCACCACAGAGTCCAGACCTCAACCCCATTGAGAATCTTTGGGATGTGCTAGAGAGGGCTTTGCGCAGCGGTCAGACTCTACCATCATCAATGCAAGATCTTGGTGAAAAATTAATGCAACACTGGATGGAAATAAATCTTTTGACATTGCAGAAGCTTATCGAAGCAATGCCACAGCAGTGCGTGCCGTAATCAAAGCTAAAGGCGGTCCAACAAAGTATTAGAGTCAGTGACCTTTTTTTTTGGTGGCGACTTTTTTTTTGGCCAGGCAGTGTAATTACCAGCAGTAACCAACCTATAACAATAATTTATTGAGGGGTTACCAACAGTAACCAACCTGTTGCTAACCCAACAGTTACTAACCATAACTCTGTTTGAGTAGTTTACCAACCCAGCGCTGGTCAAATATTGGACAGAAAACATATTGGGTTGATTCAACCCAACAAATTGGGTTGGTTCCCTTAATACAACAGTTGGGTTGTTAAGTTAAAAAAGTCAAAGGTCAAACTGACTACACTGCTGGGTTCAGTTAACCAAGCAAGTTGGGTTGTTAAATATATAATTATTATTTTACATGCTAAAATATGTGATAATTATTACATCATTTTACAATAATGATTATTATTTTTTAATATATTACAACTATTAGTTATTAATATTGTAATTCTATTATTCATCATTTTGTTCATGAAATATATGCTCACACCAATAATGTTATAATAAATATTATATTTAAAATATACAGAACAATCAGAAATAGAAAAAAAATATGTTAAATTCGAAAAATTTCCATAAAATTGTAATGTAAGTTTACACTTCTTCAGATATAGCAGGTGGAAAATAAAAACCTAATAAAGCACATATGAACAGCAGAGCTGTCTCATGTTAACTAGCTTTGCCCAAGATCACAATAAAGGCTTGAGAGCAAAGAAATCTATTTGCCAGTAGCAGCAGAAATGGGTGCGACCTGGAGGACTCTGCTTTCTCCAAGTCCTCCTAAATGTTAGTTTTGACCTATAGCAAGAAATAAAAGACCAACCAAAAAAGACCAA